ATCGGCCCTACCCTGAGCGTGAGTGAGGGTGGCATCGCAACCTCCCGATCCGCCCTGCTCTGTGCATGACGGGGCGGTGCCCCAACTCCCCAATCGGCCCTGCTCTGAGCCTGACCAGGGGCTGCACTTAGGGATTGGGCCTGCCCTCTGCCACCCGGGAGCAGGCCTAAGCCAGCAGGTCGTTATCTGCCGAGGGGTCCCAGACTGCAAGAGGGCACAGGCCGGGCTGGGGGACCCCCCTCCCCCCGCCCCCCGAGTGCACAAATTTTTGTACACCGGGCCTCTAGTATATAATAAAAGCCTAATATGCAAATCGACCGAATGGCGGAACGACTGGTGGCTATGACATGCACTGACCACCAGAGGGCAGATGCTCAATGCAGGAGCTGCCCCCTGGTGGTCAGTGCGCTCCCACAGGGGGAGCGCTGCTCAGTCAGAAGCTGCGCTCATGGCTGGCGAGTGCAGCGGTGGTGGCAGCAGCGCTAAGGAGCAGTGAGCAGGCAGGTGGTAAGGAGTAAGGGGTCCTGGGGAGTGGGCCTAAGCCAGCAGTTGGAGTTGAACATGGGAGACGCCCCCTCATGCACTGGGGCCCTAGTACAATTATAAGGGTGTCTGAAGTTAAAATTGAACTCTTCATTCCTGTGAGGTAAACCTCCTTCTTTGCCCTCCAAATCTCTTCAGCAGAATCCCTATCAACTACATATCCCCTGTGCGTGTCTTTGGAGCAGGAGTGAGAAAACAGCAATGTCTGGAAAGACTTGGCCCAGATGGGAGAAAGCTGACACAGGACAGGGAGATGGTCTATAAATTGAACAAATTCAGTAAAGCAGGAATTTAGAGCCAGAATGTAAATCTACATGGGCTTCTCAGACATCAAGGGTGGGGCTTTTTGCTTGATGGAAAGAGGTTGAGACAACCTTTTGGGGTTGCTATGGAGCACAGTTGTTATCTTGGCCACCATTAACAACCAGCATCTTCTCCCCTCAACTTGTGATAAAGCTACCCTGATTTCACTCTGGGGAACGATTCTTTCTCTGCCTCTTGTCTCAGCTGCTTTCCTCATAAAGATGGAGATCATGACCTGTGCTAAGCCAGCTGGCATATTCCATCATTTTGGGACACATGACCCAAACTGGACCAATCAGGACCAAGGAGATACATTTCAGGATTTTTGAAAGGCTATTTAGGAAAGTGATGCTACTGTTCCCCACCCTGGGAGTTGGATTTTGAGCCACTTTGAGGACAGAGCTAATCCAGAAGAAATGGAGCAGAAGTCTTCATTTGAAGTCCTGTGTCAAGCCAGGCCTGAAGCCTCCTCTGTGCTGGCTTTGCAGTTAGGTGCACCTACTAAATCCATTCCTCCGCTTAAACCAAACTGGGTTGGAACTCTGCTCAAATGTGTTTCTCATTCACACCAAAAGAACCTTGCTTCAGACACTCTTTCCCCATTCTGGGAATAATATAGGCACCCAAAGCTGAATCAAAAACCCTTGGGGCCAGATGTATATTGCGGTTCAGAATTTTTAGTGATTAGAAGATAGTATGGCACATATATAGCATTCATATGTAAACCACTGGGGCCTGGGGTAGCACTCCATAAGCAAACATCTTAAAATTTCTGCAGGGCAGAATCTGAATATTGAGACTACATGGGATGCAAAAAGACTAAGTAGCCTTTGTTAGCTCAGGTCAGAGTTTCTTGACAGATGAATTTGAGCCCTAAATTTGTGAAAATACCATTTTCAAAGCTTTTAGGTTTTCAGAATTACAAATGGTGGACCTACAAATAATAATAGCTCATTGGTGTCCAGCTAATATTAACTGATATCATCCTCACACTGATTCTATAAGGTAAATATAATTCCCATTTTACAGAAGGGAAATCTGAGGCCGGGGTGGGTGAGGTGACTTGCCCAAGGTCACACGCCTAGGAGGTAGCAGAACCAGGATTTGAACCTAGGTTGTCTGGCTGCAGAGTCATATGTCCTTCCTTCATGCTATCTGCCTCTAATGGGGATGGTAATGTCTTTGGGGACCCCCTCCATAGCCCAAGGCTGCAACCCACTTGAGGAGCTGAGGGCCAGTACCCTTCCAGAGGCCCCAGCCCACTGCCTCCCTTGCACCTCTCACCTCCACAAGAAAAAAGTCCGTAAAGCTGGTGTCAGTCAGCAGAACTGACTTCTCCTCAGGAATTCCACCCAGGATGAGCACAGGTGTCTGGTCCACAGTATACCACAGGGGCCTCGATGGGGCATTCACAAAGTACCGGGGTATCAGATTGAAGAGCTGCGGGGGGGAAGGGGCAGGAAGGCTGTTCAACATCCCCCACCCTCCTATGGCTTCATCTCACTTACGGTAAATGCCAAAGTCTTCTCCCTAACCAAAGGCCCCACACAATTCCCCCCCCCTCCACACACACACACCTCACTGACCTCATCCCCCTTACTTTCCCCCTAGCTCACTCTTTCCCAGATACATGGGCCTCCTGCTTCTCAGACTGCCCAGCACATTCCCACTTCAGAGCCTGTGCACTGGCTGTTCCCTCTGTATACAATGCTCTTCCCCTAGGATCCACATGATTCCCTCCTCTTCTCCTTCAAGGCTTTATTCAAATGTCAGCCTTCTCAATTCTGCCTTTCTTTCTTTCTTTTTTCATTAATCTTCTCCTGAGGACATTTTTTCCATTGATTTTTAGAGAGAGTGGAAGGGAAGGAGGGAAGAGGGAGGGAGAGAGGGAGAGAGGAAGAGAAGGAGAGAGAGAGAGAGAGAAAGAGAGAGAGAGAGAGAGAGAGAGAGAGAGAGAGAGAGAGAAATATCAATGTGTGAGAGAGACATCAATTGGAATTGGTTGCCTCCCGCACATGCCCTGACCAGGGCAGGGATAGAACCTGCAACCCAGGTACATGCCCTCGACCGGGAATCAAACCCAAGACCCTTTGGTGCACAGGCTGACACTCTACCACTGAGCCACACTGGTCAGGGCTCAATTCTACCTTTCTTGACCATTCCATCAAACACTGCAGTCCCCTCCTGCACAGACCCTATCCACTGCACTCTGTCTGAATTCTATCCAGAGCACTTTTCACCTTCCATAGAATTTACTTGATTTCATGTTTACTGGTTTGCTGTATGTCTCTCCCACTAGAATGTCAGCTCTAAGAGGTCAGGGACTTGGGTCTGTGTGTCCACTGTTTTGTTCGCATGGGGATGCCTTGTGCTCAGTAAGTGCTTGCTGAATGACTGAATGAATGGACTCTGATTAAGAATATGTGTGCAGGAGTCAAGCAGACACAGCTTCAGGTCTTGTTCCGTATGTACATGCTGAGAGACTGCGCAAATGGTTCCATCCCTTTCAAGCCTCAGTTTTACCCTCTCTAAAATGGGTGTGTAAGAGTACCTTCCCTCACAGGGTCAATGTTGAAGATGTAATGTGATTGTGCATTTAGTAGAACACTTCACCTGGGGCCTGGCACAAAGTAAGTGCTCTAAGTCAGCAGTCGCCAACTGGTGGTCCGTGGGCCACTGGTGGTCCGAAAGGTTGGCGACCGCTGCTCTAAGTGGAGCGTGCCACTTGTGTGGGGAGTAATCAGAGCCCCGGCCCACTGTCTTTAACCCACATCTTCTGTGCCCACTGTCCAGGCCCCCTTACCTCATTTCCCACAGTGAACTGGAGTCTGTTGTCTTGCTGTCTCTTCAAGAAGCCATTGATGTTCACCAGAAACCTGGCAGCGGTGTGAGGCAGGCACAGGCAAGGGTTTGGGTTCAGGGACTCCTGCCACAGCTCACAGCCACCTCCCCAGCCTACTCCCTCCCATTGGTCTCCTCCTGGTTTCTTTGGGAATGTGGAGATAAGGAAGTCCCTCCCAGAATCCACCCCCTACCCTGGGTGTGGGGAAGGGCACCTTTTATTGGGGATGAAGGGCCCGAGGCCATTGCTGCTGACATCCACACGCATGACCACACTGCCATTCTTGACGGGCATGGGTGTGTACCAGCTCATGATACACACCTCCTCTGCACTGCACTGCTCTGCTGGTAAGCAGGGGGCACTGAGGCAACTGGGATCTCCATGCAACTTCCCATGTCCTGCTCTACACCAGGAACCCCACTGGGGCCTCTGTGTAGCCCCATCTAGGCCATGCAACCTGTTAAAGCCTCCCCCCCGCCCCCTCCCCTCCTCCAAGTCACAGATGTCACTGAGGGCCCCCAACAAACCCCACATTTCCACCAGGTCATGGACTCCTCTGATGCCCCCAACCTCCCCTTCCAAGTCATGAACCCCTCTGAGGCCCCCAGAAATCCCCCACCCCTCCAGGCACCCCGCAGGCCCACCTTTGCTGCGGAAAGGGGCTGCCTCCATCTGGATCTGCAGCTGTTCTAACTTCCAGCGATTGAAGTTAACTGGGGACTGGAAGATGACCAGCACCACAGGCTTCAGCCCCGTCAGGTGGCCCTTGCGGACCAGAGCCTCGGAGGACTGAGGGTGAGATGGCCCCACAGGTGTGTCTTTAAGATAAACTCTGGGCCCCCTGCCTTGACCCCACCTTTGGTAACCTGTTTTCCTGGGCTGGGTAGGGAGAACAGAATCTCCACCAGGGGAAGGTCAGAAAACATGGTCTAGGTTTGGAGCTGGGATGGAGGACAGACCAGGCTAGGAAAGGGGTAGAGGGGCTAGAAACTGTGGAGGCAGTCAGGAGGTCTTCCTGGAGGAGGTGAGTCCAGGGCCACGGTCTTCAGATAGAATTTGAATGTAGGGAATACATAGAGAAGGGCAGCATGGGATAAGCAAAATCGTGATGGCGGGAATGAACCTGGCACCCAGAACTACTAATCCCAGGCCCACTCTTGAGGTTTCCACTTTCCCTCCAGAAATGAGACTCTGCCACCCTCAATAGTCAAAAGATAATGAGGTTTGGGGGCTGGGACCTGGGGTAAAGGTGGGATGGGACAGTAAAGACTGGGGAAGATGGTGAGGGGGCAGCCAGAGACAACCTCCCAGAGATGCCAGAATCCTGGCTGGGCTGAGAAGGGCAGTCAGGGCTTAGGGTGGAGATGGAAGGAGGGAAGAAGGGTACTCCAAGTGTATGGATCAAGCATATGCAAGAAGGCTGCACTCAGGCCAGAGTGGGCTTTGAGACCAGGGTGAGACACTTAACGGGTCTAATCACCTTTGCACAAGCTTTCATCTCTGCATGGATTACCCTTCATAAATTATTGTATGTATGTACTTACCGATTGCTCTGCTGATGGGCTGAATCCATAAGAAAAACCTGGCTGTGTTGTTTATCACTGTACCCCCACTCCATTGTAAAAGAGAATCTGACCCATAGTAAGTGTTGCATGAACGAATAAAGGTATTATTACCATACTTTTACAGGTAAGGAGAGATGGTTCATGGAGTAAAACTCTATGCCCAGGGTCATGCTCTAGAAACTTATTGCTAGCATTCACTGAAGCCCTTCTGTGAACCAGACACTGTGCTGAGAGCTTCACACATAGTTAATCATTTTATGAAGTTGACACAATCATTACCTTACCCTTGTTAAGGATGAGGAAACTTTGATACAGAGAAGTTAAGTAACTTGCCTGAGATCACAGTTATTATGGTATAGGATCTGAACCCAGGCAGCCTGGCTCAAATTGTTAACAATCATGCTATTCTTCCTCCAAGTAAATGTTAATCAGTGGCAGATTCAAACCCAAGTCTGCAGCCTCCAGAACTTCACTTCTGGACCACAACATTCCATTGTCTTCAAAAAGCTTACTTGAGCCCTAACCACCTGTTTGGCTCAGTAGATAGAGCGTCGGCCTGCGGACTCAAGGGTCCCAGGTTCGATTCCTGTCAAGGGCATGTACCTTGGTTGCGGGCACAACCCTGGTGGGGAGTGTGCAGGAGGCAGCTGATCGATGTTTCTCTCTCATCAATGTTTCTAATTCTCTCTCCCTCTCCCTTCCTCTCTGTAAAAAAATCAATAAAATATATATATTTTTTAAAAAAGCTTACTTGAGCCAAGTAAGAACAAAGTTTGAAGACTCAAACTTTCCAATTTGAAAACCTACTACAAAGCTATAGTAATCAAGATCATGTGATACCAGCATATGGATAGACATATAGAACAATGGAATAGAATTATACCCCAAAACAAACCCTTACATTTATGGTCAATTGATTTTTGAGAAGGGTGCCAAGACATTTTACTGGGGTAAAGAATGACATTTTCAACAAATGGTACTGGGATAATTGGGTATTTACATGTCAAAGTTGGATTCTTTTAAAAATATTTTATTTTATTTTTTAAAATAGATTTTTATTGATTTCAGAGAGGAAGGGAGAGGGAGAGAGAGATTGAAACATCAATGATGAGGGAATCATTGATGAGCTGCCTCCTGCACACCTCCTGCTGGGTATCGAGCCCGCAACCCAGGCACATGCCCTTGGCCGGAATTGAACCTGGGACCCTTCAGTTCACAGGCCAACACTCTATCCGCAAAGCCAAACCAGCTAGGGCCAAAGTTGGTTTCTTACCTCACACCACATACAAAAATTAATTCCAAATATTTTGAAGACCTAAATGTAAGAGTTAAAACTTAAAAACTCTTAGTAAAAACCATAGGAGTAAATCTTCATGACCTTTGGTTAGGCAAAGCCTTCTTAGACAACACCAAAAGCACAAGCAACAACAACAAAAAAGATAAATTGGACTTCATTGAAATTTAAAACTTTGTGCTATTTTATGGTATGTGAATTATATCTCAATAAACATAAAACTTTTGTGCTTCAAAGGACACCATCAAAAAAGTGAAAAGACAGACTCATAAATAGAGAACAGACTGACAGCTGTCAGAGGACAGGGGGTTGGGTGGAAAAGGTGAAAGGATTAAGCAACAACAACAACAAATCTCATAGACACAAACAACAGCATGGTATTACCAAGAGGGAAAGGTGGAGAGGTAGAAGAGAGTGTAAGGGGGGTAAATGGTGATGGAAGGAGACTTGACTTGGGTGGTGAACACACAATACAATATAACTGATGTTACAGGATTGCACACCTAAAATCTATATAGTTTTATTAACCAATGTCAACCCCAATAAATTAAATTAATAAAAAAAGAAAGTGAAAAAACAACCAATGGACTGTGACAAAGTATTTGCAAATCATACATCTGATAAGGAACTAGTATCAGAATATATTAAGAAATTATACAACACAACAATAAAAAGACAACTCAATTTTTAAACGAGCAAAAGATCTGAATGGACATTTCTCCAAAAGTAGATAAATGTCCAAAGAGTACATGAAAAGATGCTCAAAATCATTAGTTATGAGGGAAATGCAAATCAAAACCACAATGAGATACCATTTCATACACACTAGGATGGCTATAATAAAAAAGGTGGACAAAGACAATTGAGGATGAAGAGAAACAGGAACCCTCATAGATAGGAATGTAAAGTAGTACAGCTGCTTTGGAAAATAATCTGGCAGTTCCTCAGAAGTGAAAGGGAGTTAACATATAACCAAGCAATTCCATTCCTAAGTATATACGAAAGAATTGAAAACATGTTTACACAAAAATCTGTACACAAATGTTCATAGCAGCATTGTTCAGAACAGCCAAAAAAGTGGAAATAACCCAAATGTTTATAAATTAATGGATTTAAAAAATCTATACAGTTGAATATTATTCAGCCATAAAAAGGAAATACTGATAGATGCAATAACATGGATGAGCCTTGAAAATGTAGCTTAGTGGTTAGAGCTTCAGCCCTAGGACTGAAAGGCCGTGGGTTCGATTCCCAGTCAAGGGTTCGATTCCCTGTCAAGGTTCATGTACCTGGGTTGCAGGTTAATCCGAGGCATATGTAGGTGTCAACTAATGGGTGTGTTTTTTTCACATGGATGTCCCCTCTCTATTCCTCTCTTTCTCTCCTCTCTTCCCTCTCTCCCTTCCACTCTCTCTAAAAATCAATGGAAAAAATATCCTGCAGTGAGGATTAACAAAAACAAACAAACAAACATGCTAAGTGAAAGAAGCCAGACATAAAAGGCTACATATTGTACTGCCTGCCTGAAATAAGCAAATCCATAGGGACAGAATGTGGTCTCCAGGGGCTGGAGGGGCGGGGGTACAGGGTTTCTTTTTGAGGTAATGAAAATGTTCTAGAATTAGTGGTGATGGTTACACAAGTTTGTGAAGCCAAAATTATTGGCTTGTACATTTTAAATGATGAATTTTATGGCAGGTGAATTATATCTTAATTTTTTAAATATATTTTATTGATTTTTACAGAGAGGAAGGGAGAGGGATAGAGAGTCAGAAACATCGCTGAGAGAGAAACATCGATCAGCTGTCTCCTGCACACCCCCTACTGGGGATGTGCCCGAAACCAAGGTACATGCCTCTGACCGGAATCTAACCCGGGGCCCTTCAGTCCGCAGGCCCATGCTCTATCCACTGAGCCAAACCAGTTAGGGCTATATCTTAATTTTTTAATGGAAAAAAAAAAGGCTTACTTGAGCACTTACTATGTGCCTGGTGGGGCTCTGGCAATCGTTGTGAATCCTTAAGGGCTCCTAGGGTTTGGTGGTGCCACTACCATTAAAAAGCTAGAAAAGGGGAAACTGAGGTTCACACAGAATGAGCCCGCTCGAGCTGCAAACACTCACCTCTCCTTTGCAGGAGTAGTTGATCTTCAGGTAGTAAGGGAAGCCCAGGTATTTCTGCAAGGAGAGGTTGGGCAAATGTCCAGAGCCCAATCAGATGCACCTCCAGGACCTCTCCCATTCACCTGACCCCAGTCCCCTCACCTCCTCCGGGTCGATAGGCGCGTCCACCAGAAGACCAAACAAATTGTCCACTGTGTCCAGGGGTTCTTGCTCAAAGAAGCGGTCACTCCCATGGTTCTTGCCTATCGTCTCGAACTTGTTCAGGACAACCTGCCAGGTGCACTCCTGGTTATCCTCGACAGCCCACAGCCTCCACGGTGACAACAGCACCGCCATCAGTGACCACAGCACCCACAGGACTCGGAGTCTCGGCCACGAAGGGCCAGCAGGGTTCATCACGGGGCAGCGCGCAGCGTGGCTGGAACCTGGAGAATGCAGGAGTCAACACCCGCTAGCAAGACTGCGCTCCGGGGCCACCTTCTGAGATCCCACCTCTGTCCTTGCTTCGCCCGGCTCCTGCATTTGGCCCCCCACCTGCTCCGGGCCTCGCCTCTGCTAGGACTTCTGGCCCCCACGCTGCTCTTGCTCCTGGTCCCGCCCCTGCTCTTGCTCTGGGCTCCGCTTCTGCTCCAGACCTCGCTGATGCCCCAGGTCCTGCTTCTCCTGGGAAGCGAGATCCCACCTCCGCGGTTTCTCCGGGTCCCGCCCTTACCGCCGCTCCTGGCCACGCCCCCGCTCCTGGTTTCGCTCCACCTCCTCATCGCTCCCCTCAACCTTGCACCATCCTTGTTTTTTGCTCTACACTTGCCCTGCATCCGGTCTCTGTTTCTCGCTTTGTCTGCGTCCCACCTATCCCCCCCCACCCCCAGTCCTGCTACTCCCCCAGATCTTGCACCTGCACCTGCACCTGCAACTCGCCTCATCCCCACTTATTGGCCCGCCTGCCCACTTCTTTTTGTATCGCCCCTTTCTCCTCGTTCGAATCTTGCCTGCTTACGGGATCCTGTACCTAGCCCGCCCGCTCCCGGTCTTGGACCTTCTCCACGCCACGCCCCGCCCGCCCCTTTCCCTGTCCCCTCCCGTTTCTCACCCAGAGCTTGCTTCCCGATTTGCCTTTGCTCCCAGTTCCTCGACCTGCCCCTTATCAGCGATCTTTTCCCGCTGGACCTGGACCAGCTGCTCTTCCCGAGCCTACGCCTCGCCCCGTCCCTTAGAGACTTTGCCTTTCGATCTCTCGTGGCCCTGCACCTATCTTCACTCAATGACGGGGCTATCACCTTTTCGTCTCACCCCCTCTGCTCACCACCCCTTTCCATACTCTGGACTCAATGGGCTCCACGCCCGGCCTCTTCGCGCCCCGCCCCTACTCGGCTCGCTGCTTCTCCCCTGCCCTTTCTCCGCATCTCCCCGCCTCCGCGCGGTGCCTCTGCTCTCCGCCCTCCCCTTGCCTCTCCCCCCTCTCCTCCCCCTTCGCCCGAATGGATGGCACCAGGCACCTCCCTTTTCTCCCCACCCCGAGGTACCAGTCACTTCGGTAAAACCGGCCAACCGTCACTTGGCCGCTCCAGCCCCGCCCGCTTTCGCCCGCACTTCCTCAACCGCCCTCCGCCTCGCGAGGCCCGGGCTGGGCTGTCTCCACGGCAACGCGCCTGTGTCAGGCTGGCGGCGGGGACTGGCCAGCAGAGGGTGCTGGAGACAAAGTTTGTGATACCTAGGCGTGCTTCTACCCAATCAGGCTTTTATATTAAAAACTAGAGGCCCGGTGCACAAAAATTTGTGCACTCGGGGGGTGGGGAGGGGGGGGTCCCCCAGCCCGGCCTGTGCCCTCTTGCAGTCTGGGACCCCTCGGGAGATAACGACCTGCTGGCTTAGGCCTGCTCCTGGGTGG